TGCATAACAAAAGATGGCCGATCGTTGAGTTAATCCTAGCCACCTTCTACCAAACAAGAAAGGTTGACAATGACAGAAACCAAGACGCATACGGCGTAAATAAGCGGATAGTTGATTAAAAAATTCTTCAATTTCCAACCGTTGAGCGCCTTCAGCAAGTGGAACGAGCTGCTAGCCATGTGCAGCACGGAGAAGCCAACCGTTATAGCATAACCAATCCACGTCATCATCGGGTTATTGTCAACTCGATAACGACACAAAACCAAACACAACGAGATAATTGATGTGAACGGCGACACCCACAACAAACTTGTTCGATGCTTCGGCCCACCTACTCCCATTATCAGTGAGATCTCCACACCCATTGTCACACATGCCACAATCACCTGATTCATATAAATAATAAATAATTTTTTTTTGTACAAAATTATTGAATATAAATATATATTGATGGAATATTTTTTTTAATTTTTTTTATATAAGTAATTACCTGCAGCAAACTAAGTAAGAAGATGGCTCGTCCTCCAACTTGTGCGTCGGCAACCATATGTGGACGCTCCCAACCAGCTTCTTCATCTCTCTCTCCCGACATCTCTTCGATCTTTTCTTCGATATTCGATCGTTTCTACTTTTTTTCGAGTACGTATTTAATTTGATATTTGATGATAGTAATTCAATGTATATATAGACCAATTTTGATTATTTATTTTTAGGTATTATTTTGTATCTTAGGCAGCATGACCAATATTTTTGGAATGAGAACCATCAACTTGAGTAGTAGATTCTGCTTTCGATTTTTTGTTTCCTTTTTGGCATAGATTCTATTTCCAACAACCACAATAATTAATATTTGGTATGTAATTTCTTAATTTTATGCAATTATTTTTTTTGGAAAAACCCCCCAAATCTTCTTTTGTTATACGGAAAGGTACAACACATATTTCACTATTTGATATAAACGCATACTCGCATTTCCCTTCCTTTATAACTCCAAAATTGTTCTTTCCACTACACCCATCCCCGTTTTTCCTTTTTTTTATTTGTATTAAATGGGAATTAACCATTAAACACTTGATTTACTATATATGTTGCTTACAAAAGAAGAGTAGGTTCTCTAAAAAAAAAAAAGAACAGTAGGTTACAGTTTTTGGATTGTATAAGTTTTGCCTGAGATGAATATTTAAGATTTTCCAGTTACTTCATGATTTATTTAACGACACGGACCGGTGCAAGACACACGACACATTACGACAAATGACATGCAATTAACTTGTCTCAAAATAACAAACAGCTAAACAATTGTAACAAAAAATAAATAAATAAAAATTTTAATTAAACGGCTAAATCCTTTTACCAGTAATATGTATTGTGAATTGTGATTCACATTAACATTAATATTGTAATATATATATATATATATATATATATATATATATATATATATATATATATATATATATATATATATATATATATATATATATATATATGTATATATATATATATTATTCCTAAAATATTATCTCTTGATTGGATTTAATTTGTGTTTACTTATAATAGGGTAAACAACATAAAACCCCCCTATGTTAAGGAAAACCTGCGCCAAAATTCTTTGTATATTTTTTTTTGCGTGAAATCCCCTTGCGTTTCATTTTACTGTGCACGAAATCCCCTTTTCCGTTAAAAGTTAACGCCGTTAACTATAGAGGGGATTTTAAGCAAGTTTTTATAACATAGGGGTATATATATATAGTTTTAGCCATTTTCCACTATATATTTTACCATTTTCAGTCAATTTTATGTTGAAAATTTTGGTATTTATATTTTTTTCTTCAAAAACATCTAATTGCTTACATTTTTTTTTCTAAATAAAACCTTTTATTTTTGTCATTTTGAGTTTCTTTATTTATTTTTTCTTAAATGTCTTCCGTTAATTCAAACATCCTAAGATTACAAACATCTTTACAATCCTATTATTGTTGAGAATTTGAACTACCTGA